ACCCTGAGCCATCCCTGGCTTCTCAGTGTAAGGTCTACCCTACCCTGGGCCAGTGATACGAGCACCACAGCCTGGATTTGATAGCACCTTCCCCAAGAGGAGTTCTGACACCATCTGAAGTAACAGTCAGCAGTAGGCACCAGATGTGTAGACACTCAGAATTAAAACTGTATCCTCCAGTGTAACTTGGGAGAGTCTGACTTGCTCTAGTGGGAAAGCTACATTTACCTTCAGGAAAAACGTCAAGTAGAACCCAAAGCAAGCCAGTTTTTATTACATTATCAGAGGCTTACTGTGGCCTAGACTTTGTCTTTCCAAGGAACGGCAAGCCTGTTGCCATTCACTCAGTCATTTACTGGCAGCTGAGTTGCCTCTGCTGCTCAACCACAGACCTCATGCTAGGCAGGTGCTCCTAACAGTGATGTCTCCACAGAAAAAAGAGCAGCCATCAATCCACTAGCTCCAGAGTGGAGTGGTAATCTGGAGTGGAGCCAGGCTCCGAATGTCCTCAAGCCTCCCTTCAGACCTAGTGATTCAAAAAATAAGAGCATGGGAACCCAAGGAAAACTGAGGCTAGCAATAACAGGCTGCTTTCCCAGGCTGCCCCAGCAAGGATGAGAGGGTGGCAGACCTTAGTGGCATCAAAATTCCCACCCAGGGGTTAGAGAGATGGCTTAGCGGTTAAGAGCACCGACTGCTCTTCCAGAGGTCCTGAGTTCAATTCCCAGCAACCACATAGTGGCTCACAACCATCTGTAATGGGATCCAATGCTCTCTTCTGGTGTGTCTGAAGACAGTGACAGTGTACTCATATACATAAAATAAATAATTTTTACTCATATACATAAAATAAATAATTTTTTATTTATTTTTTAAATCAAATCATAATTTTTACTTATTCACATAGGAGTTATAAACACAAAAAGGCAGGATGTGGGGAAGGGGATGACACCAGAGCGTGGGTGTTCAGGGGGAGTACAGATATCTTTCAGAACATGGTATCGGCTGGGTGAAGGTTCAGGGGACAGGTCACTATGACTCTATGATTCACTTGTCCTTATCTAAGTTGGTATAAAATAAATAATTCTTGAAAAAAAAAGAAAAAAAAAAAAAGAAAATTCCCACCCAGAGGGCAAAGTGGCTGCCAAGCTTGAAACCCTGAGTTTGATTCCTGAGACCTCGATGTTACTATGTGAGACCTGACTCCCTCAGGTGATCCTCTGACCATATATGCATGGAGGAAGGTCCATATGTATGAATGCATGCACACATATGCATGCACATGAGCACACACACAAATGCAGTTTTAGAAACCCAATCTAGC